ATCGGCTTCATGAGTTTTAAAATATCGGCATATCGGATATCGGCCAAATTCCCAATATCGTGCATCCCTAATATATAGTAATATTACAATATCACATTGTGACCCAATTATCGGGACACATATTGTATCGCAACACCTCTGCCAATACTTACCCCTACCTACAGTAGGGGTTAGTTAAATAGTTGCAAGAAACTAGGTTAGGTTTTTTTAAAGGTATAGTGGAAGATTTTTGCGATTTTAAAAAAAAAAAAACCACCCTCTCCATTAAAAAAAAAAATGCACATCCCTGTATTAGCTCCTGAGAGGGAACGCCTATTAAACGCGTGTGAGAGCGTGCACAAGCCCGTTTCTCCTGGTGCACGCTCTGTTTAAAAGTTGCTGTTTGCGTCGCTCATACAAGCTTACTTTCCAAAAGAAGATTTGCAATTTTTCCACTATGTCAGACTCACCACCGGTGAGTGAAAATGGGGTCGAGCACGTACGGTAGGACTGCCTTATGTAAACATATCACCAGAATGATTGACGATTATTAGGACCACTTATTTTGATGATCCACCCACAAAAAGAACATCTTCCACTATACCTTTAACTTCAAATTAAAAAATATTCTGCTGACATTTCAATTCCCAACAATCTCTTCATGTTCTTACAAAGTTCAGCCTCACGAAATAAAAAAAAGAGGGCTCATTTGAAAGCATTTCTAAAATATTTGTTATTCTGAAAAGACCCTTGAAACAAAATGAAACAACCTGCTTCAGTATGCAGGTACAGTATTAGGTATGTAATCAACCTTTTTTATTTGTTATTGCCTTTAGATACAAACTCATTCATGTTGGATAAACTTGATTATTTGTTTTCAAGTATACATTTAAGCCCACATTTTGGTATACAAATGTATTTTTATTGCTCTGATGTAATTTCCTAATCTTTCTTTTATTAGCTGTATGCTGTATGGTAGTCAAAAGAAATAAAGGACTGCAAATAAGTAAACTCAGCAAGAACATTGTAATTGATTGATTGGATTTGTACGTATTTGTGCATCTCCAGGCTTCCGTAGGTTTGTGCAACAATAAGGTATAAGAACCGGAGAAAAGCACAATGAGATCCAGTAGAGCCGCTGCTAAGGAGTCGCTTTTAGCTGGATCTGGCTGCTTGGGGAGGAAAAGAGGGATCTGGTGATACATGGGCGGTTCTAGACAGAGGCTAATGGGGGCTAGTGCCCCTGTAGGTCATGTCCTGGCCCCCTGTTATGGCCCCTGTGCTGAAGACAGAATATTAAAAGAAATTCTAATGATTATATGTGCTGGACTAGAAATAGTTACTGATAGACCCTTTGGATCTATTTCATTTTTTTTCTTTAAAAAAAAAAAAATCTATTTTACTAATTAATTAAAAACAAAAAGGGGAGAGCTTCAGTGGTTTTGAGATAGGATCCTAGTTTTTATCTGTTAAATGTTTTTTTCAAAACAAGTGAAAAAAAAAACAACTAATTTTTACAGCTGAATTTATCAGTTTTTCTTGAGTTCTAATTCAGATTTTATGGCAAACCGTAATTTTTACTGAAATTAAGTTGAAAATATGTAAAATTCCTAAATTATGAATGTATTCCAAATAATAGCTTTATTTGATCTTTTAGATATTTATATGGATACATTTTTTTTGTTGCTTTTTTGCTAGCAGAAAGAGCAGCAAAAACACACGTGCTCCTTCATTTTTCACGCTTGTACAAGTTTAGTTCTAATTCGCGCCTGAAGCATCTTTGCTGCTCTGGCTGCGCGGTGGAAAAAGTGGGTCTGATGCGTGCTGGGCGGAGCTACCAGCTTGTCACTACCCGATTCGTCCCGGAAGCACGATCCGTTCTGCGAATGCACCATCAACTCATTTGCGCCTCCAGATATACATCCGGGTCATCCTCGGTTTTATTTTGTTAAAAACACCTAAATGACGTTTTCCCTCCACAAAAATAGTAACCGTACTAAAATAGAATGTGTTAAAGGTTAATAATGTATTTCTTCAGAAAATAAATGCCTTAAAATCCTCTCTTATCACTCGTCTCTGCCCGATCTGCACCGGAAATGGGATCCTACGCTACTTCCGGTGGCTAACTTTTTCGGCTTTGGATTTAAACATAAATCTAGTTTTTTGGAGTTTTATGTTTTCGTTTCGTTTTAACCTTATGGAATATAGTGCGTAATCTACAGAAAGAAACAACTAAAATGCAGATAAATATGGTTTAATCATATATCGCCGGACTTCTCTGAGCATGATGATGATGATGTCAGAGAAGCAGTTTAACGAAGAAAATGTAAAAAGGATAAAAATTGTCTCACAAAAGTCATCAAACATTTTTACAGATGTGTATTAGTATTGTAGTGAGTTAAGGATAGAAATAATAAGTTTTAGTACCATAATTACAGTCTGTCGTATCTGTTTGTGCATGCGCGGAACGGATTGTGCGTCCAGGACGGATCGGGTAGTGTTAGCGCTAACTACATCACAGTCAGTTGCGCTCATTGGTCCGAGCGTTGGCCATTAGGCAGAGAGATGGTTTGAAAAACAACGGGTTGTTCTCATCAACAATCTTCCGACGTCTCATTCATCTTGGCCAGATTAAGGCTACGTTCACACCGCAGGACATGATGCTCAATTCCAATTTTTTTTCTGTTGCCTTTCACAATTCCAAATAAACGCGACTTGTATGTGATCTCCTGTGTAAACTGCATTGATACAGCTTAAGCGTCCCACATGCGCAGAAGAGGACGCAAGCTCAGTGTTTACGGAAGTAAACATTGATGTAGTGCTGGAGCACATCTAGCGAGCTTTCGAAACCTCAAAACCTCAATCTTTCAAGATGGTTAAACATAAATACTGCTCTGCATCACATCCACCGCCATGGTTGTTGCTTTTCTTGCTGCTTCTGTGTAGCAAGAAGCAGAATGGTCACCTATGTCGGTTACTAATGGCGTTCAGGTCGGATGAATACGACCTGGCCGTTCAGACACAGGTCGCATTTGAAAAGATCGGACTTGTGTCGGATTCAGGACCACAGAGCCAAGTGGCCTGGGTCGCATTGGGAAAAATCAGATCTCTGTTGTTCAAACTGCGATGAAAAGATCAGATCCAGGTTGCATATGGGCCAAAAAAAAATCGGATTTGGGTCACTTCAGGCTGCAGTGTGAACGTAGCCTAAATTACACATTTAATCTGGTTTATCAGGCTAGCAGATTTTGGCGTTTTAAGTTAATTAAGGCGTTAATAAACTGTTTCAGAGGAGTGAACGTAGCGCTCTGCATCACTGCATCATGATGGCGTTCATGTGTTCTGAAGGCGTGGTTTCGAGGGGTTGTCTGAAGGGAGAGGCATGGTTGTGTATGTTCAAAAATACAACTTGCTGGAACCGTTTTTCCAAAATCTCCTACAGCACCTTTAATATATTTGAATCCTTTGCTTTATGTTTTCTGTGCCCCCATAGAAAACATGCTGGCCCCCCCTGGCCCCTGGAACATTTGGTCTAGGACCGCCACTGTGCTGATACCTGAACCTCAGAGAGCTGATTTGCTTTGGGTGGAGAAAACTAAAACAGCATGAAGAGGATGGATCAGAGACATTCCTGAAACGCCAATCTGTCCAGTCATGTCCCAGCAGTGACATCACAACCTTCAGGTTTCTATGGACCCCTCCCTCCCTACCAGGGCTCTCACCTTAAACCAATACTGTTCAAACACACCTGGATGAAGAATAATAAGCCTTACCTGAGCCAGACTGCCTGTTGTTACTCAGGTTGTTGATAATGTAGTGAGAAACTTTGGAGTTCTCGGAAACGGAGAGGACATAGTCTCCAGGAATGGTGATCGAGTCCCGAACCAGGAAGACTCCGTGTCTCTGTCCCTGTAGAAGGGAGACCGCTTCTTGGCGGCTCAGGCGGCCCCAGTACCAACTAGCACGATCCTCAGTATCAAAATGACCGGCCATTGCAGCGGAGTCCGGTCCGAGGCTTCAGGCCAGGCCCGCCTTCTCTCACAACTCATACAAAAACTTCGGTTTCCCAACACCGCGGCGGGGAAACAAACGCAACAAAAAATCACGACTTGGAGATTTTGAACAGCGAAGTTCTGTTTCGTTTTAAAAAGCCGCGAAAGCAACCAGAACCGCTGCTAACTGCTTGCTGTAACGCAGAACTGATCTAAACTTACGAGCGACAACCGCCTTCGGGACTGAAATGGCGGATCTAGGGAAAAGTTGACCTCATCTACCGGAAAGGGATGCTCGGTCAACGGGAAACGCTGCGTTCACGGACCCGCTTAAAATATGGGAATACTGCAAGATACAGGTTCTTGGGCTAGCTATACTTTCACGCGGCGTGAGCATGCGTTTTATACGGAAGAGGATTAGGGCCACTGGGAGAAAAAAAAAAGTTAACTGATTTTTAAATATTATTTTAGTTTAATATGCGGAAAAAAGTCAACATTCTGACTTTTTTCTCAGATTTCTGACTTTTTCTTAGAATTCTAACTTTAATCTCACAATTCTGATTTTTTTTCTTAGAATTCTGACTTTAATCTCAGAATGAAGAGTTTAATCTCAGAATTCTGACTTTTTTTTCTCAAAATTCAGACTTTGTTTCTTAGAATTCTGACTTTAATCTCAGAATTCTGACTTTTTTCTTAGAATTATGACTTTAATCTCAGAATGAAGAGTTTAATCTCAGAATTCTGACTTTTTTCTTAGAATTATGACTTTAATCTCAGAATGAAGAGTTTAATCTCAGAATTCTGACTTTTTTTCTCAAAATTCAGACCTTGTTTCTTAGAATTCTGACTTTAATCTCAGAATTCTGACTTTTTTCTTAGAATTATGACTTTAATCTCAGAATGAAGAGTTTAATCTAAGAATTCTGACTTTTTTTCTCAAAATTCAGACTTTGTTTCTTAGAATTCCGACTTTAATCTCAGAATTCTGACTTTTTTCTCAGAATTCTGAATTTAATCTCAGATTTGTGGATCTTAATGTAGATGGGCACCATGAAGGACACTCTGCTTCACTGACAAAGATGTGAGTTGTTTGGGAGGGCCAGTAACACATTGGTGAAAAATGATGCAATTAGCCAACTTTTTACGTACCCGAGGGGTCCCTGGTGATGCTATTTCATGAATGGAAGAGCAGAAGGTGATTAAAACAGGAGAGCTAGATTAGTCTCTAAAACAGACATGGCTACAGCTTGATACTAACATGTTTGTTAGCTATCAGAATTCAGTCAGAATTCTGAGATAAAATTCTGAGGAAAAAGAAAGTTAACTTTACCTTTATTTCAGTGTAATATGAGAAAAAAAGTTGGAATTCTGAGATTAAAGTCAGTATTCTGAGATTAAAGTCAAAATTCTGACTTTTTCCTCAAATTATACAGAAATAAAACTTTTTAAATTTTTTCAGTGGCCCTAATCTTCTTCCGTAGTGTTACAATAACTGACAGGGCCATTTGATACTTTATAACAGTTCCCTTTTCCAGGAGATGATTTACAATAATCAAAATAACTGGATTAAATTGATGATCAGGAATTTATTATACAAATGTATGGAAGCCTTGAGCTCCAAAGCAGAAAAAACTGATTCAAGTGACAAAACAATTGTTTAATATAAGTGTCATGTTTTTACTATAACCTATAATGTTATTACAGATATGTAAAATATTTTACATACAACTTTTAAAGGTTATCTATGTTGTAATAACCTGATATACAATGGAACATTTATACAATTTGAAAAATTAAGGTTTCATATATGTTACTGCAGGAGGAATTATACTTATCTATACTGATATCAGAATTTGAACCACCTTAAAAGATCTGTGTGCAAATCAAATGCAATCAGGAATGAATTAATTCCTTGTAATACAATTGCACTGAAAAAACGATCTAGAAATAGGTTAAAATTCCTAAATTAAGTGAGACAATGCAATTGTGATTTCTTATTTTAAATGTAAATTGTCTCGTTTCACTGGCAAGATGTCTCTTTTACCTCCTCAATCCAAGAACAAATGTCCTTATTTTAAGAAAAAATGACTTCTCTAGATTTAGATTTTTTTCCAGTGTTAAAACGTAATGTTCTCTACGGTAGGGAAGAACTGGTCCAATCCGGCTGAGGTGAAAGTTTTCATTGATCAAAGGACCCGTTTGGACCTATGGATACAAACATCCCCTAAACTGGATTCAGAAAGGTTGTGTTTTCACGAAGTGTTCTATGACATATTTGTTGATCTGGACCCAAAGAGGGTTAAACAAAGACAAAATCCCAACAAATTACCTTGAAAAAAAAAGTTCTTAATCATGTATATGAGCCTTTGTCAGTATGGCTTTGTCATAAGATATATGTTCTGATAAAAAAGAAAGGATAATGTTTAACATAAATATTTCAAATGAAATGTAAATATGAGCTATTTTAGTCACAGTATTAAGTTTTGTTTCCATTCATCAGATTGCCCAGCTTTTGTTTTTCTTTTCTGTTGTTCTCCGAGTAGAAAGTTAAAGTGATCATGACAACACAACCAGTTAAAGTTCAATAAAGACAAAATAATCATGATTTTGTGTTTAATTTTTTTTTATGTGATATCATTGTAAAGTACATAAATCTTACTGGGATTAAAATCCTAATATGTAGTTGGTTACCCAGGGTTCCTACATGTTTCATGTAAAAGTTCCAGACTTTTCCACAGCCCTAATCCCACAGTTCCCATTTCTTTAAATTAATTCTTAAATAAACAAAGCACATGGAAGGAAGGAAGGAAGGAAGGAAGGAAGGAAGGAAGGAAGGAAGGAAGGAAGGAAGGAAGGAAGGAAGGAAGGAAGGAAGGACTCATTTAGACGTTGGGAAATATAAAAACAAAAGCTCCTACTTTCTTAACAGGTAAAATACGTAATTCAGGCTCCAAGCTTTTTCAGATCAGTTAGGAACATTGCTAACAATTAAAACATTCATGACTTGGTGAAAAACCTCCAGAGTTCATTAAATCAATGAAGTAATTTAATATTACTTCAGATGAGCAGCATTTGCTCTTCTTTCATTCCACCAGCAGATGGCGACATCCATTCTTTCATGGAGTTAGATCCCCCATTTATTGAACCTTTTCCATGTGAACAACACCTCCACCCAAAACAGTATTAACATTGAAAAACCGTGTCTCTGTGCTTGCTGTGGTTCCTATTAGGTCAGGTTCCCCGTAGTGTCAGAGTTTAACAGTGTAAACATACGTAGTGCAAACATACGTGTAAGGTTAGTGTCATGCAATGAAACTGCTTTAGCTTCGTCCAGTCTGGCTCCTGATGGTCTCTCCTGTCCGCGGACATCAACATGTCAGAAAGAATCAATTCTTATTTTCTAAAACCACACGTCTAAAAAAAAAACAACAAAAAGCAATCGACTGATAAACACACTCAGTATAAAACAACATGTAGATTCTGTAAACTACTCTGATGCAGAGCTATTCAAACTTCTTCAGGTGATTGTAGAGGGATTGGACGTAGGTGAAAACACACATGGGGTCCGGTTTGTCCCCCATCTCCAGCATGTCGTCCACTTCGATCAGCCGCAGGCAGTCGGCCTGCTCCCTGAAACATAAAGACATTGGTCAATAATTCACATACAAAATTAGGAAAATGTTCTGGTGCTATAACTTTAAGGAATATTTCATCGGCTAGATTTCATGGTGTTCACCAAGAGAGTTCGTCTAGAGTTATTAATGGAACCTAAAGGCGGGTTTATGCTCAGAAACCAGGTCGTCTGGTTTGTGTCATAGACACTCTGCTGTACCCCTCCCAAATTATAGGTGACCGCAGACAGTGCCACAGACAGGAGGCCTCTGATTGGTCATATCTACATCCACTATACACAATGCGTACCTTAACCGGCTAGTTTTGTTTGTTTGTTTTATGATCGCCATTGTGAAAAACAACTCGTGGAGAAGGACCAGCTAGAAAAGTGAGGTGCGTGAAAACTCTGGGACCCTTTTCCCACCTGGATCCCCGCTCTTTTTAGCCCTCATGCCCCTCTGTTGTCGCACAAACTTGCCCCCACTTTCTCACCGCCTCGGCCGTATCTAGACCCACTGCTAGTTCGTGATTGTCCCTCTTGCGTTGTGGCGTTGACATAGGGCAGACCACGCTTCATTATCGGGCATAAATCAAAAATATCTGCGTCGTATCTCCGACATGCTCACTGCAACACACTGCTGCGGGAGTATACCCAGCTTAAGATACTTTGGTAGGCGGAGGAGTTATTGGTCTACTCAGGTGTCTATGATCTGTGGTTGAAAAAGAAGCCCATGTCCTCACCAAGCCACCACTGAGGATTAAAGCTGATATAAGGTGTTTTTGCTGATAGGCAGTGCTTGCTCCAGTCTCATCTGCCCACAGGACATTGTTAGAAGTCTTCTCCATCATCCACACATAGCTTTTGTTAAAGGTATATTGGAGGATGTTATTTTTCCGGGTGGATCACCAAAATAATGGGTCCTCCTAATTGTCAATCATTTTGGTGATATGTTTACGTAAGGCCATCCTACATGCTCGTCCTCATTTTCACTTAACGTTGGTGAGTCTGACATAGTGGATAAAACTGTATATCTTCTTCTGGAAAGTAAGCTTGTAAGAGCCATGCAATCTTTTAAACAGAGCGTGCACGAGGAGAGATGGGCTTGTGCACGCTCTTGCATGCATTTAATAGGCGTTTCCTCTCGGGAGCGCGTACAGGGGTTGTGCAGGTTTGTTTTTTTTAATTGGAGAGGGTGGGTCTTTTTAAAAATTCAAGAAAATCCTCCACTATATCTTTACCTAACTGCTGCCATCTTGTTTTTTTCTTTTTTTAAAATGAAAATAGGCCCTTTCCTTCAGCTCTTCAAACAGCCATATTATTTCAGCATTTTCTAACTGTCCTAAAAGATTGGCAGCTGTCTAAGATGTTTACCTCGTGGGAAAAACTTTTATCTCTGCAGAATAATCGACTTCAGGTAGATTGAGATTAGGTTTTAACAACTGCTAATGTTTTTTAGACCCTTGCACATTTCATAAAGGAGGTCACACTTGTGTAATGAGTGGTAAAACGATCCTGTTTGATTAGATAACTCCTCTAACTTAAAACATCCTTTTTACTCTTAGTCAGGATGTCCCGATAATAAAACATGCTGAAAAATCCTGCAAATTAATTGCAGTATTGAGTATCATCAGCAAGAATCATACATACTTTTGTTCTTTATTTCTTAGAAAAGAGA